AAAGCAATGTAATCTTGATACTACTATTGCCATTGTGGAAACACATAGCGCTATTCTGTGAACGATGTAAGTAAATCAAGCTTAATCGAAACGTGTTGTAATGTCGCCTAAACAATGACTTCTGTACTATTACCCCAAAACACCAGAAGTAGCTAACGGATTAAGTTAACGAGAAAGTTAAAAACGAATGAAACTGTGCCTAATCCGATGGAAGTTTATGAATTTGGATTGCGAAGTAATAATTTAAACCTACATGGCTTCTAGATCTTTTAATATACTCCATTCATTCCCTTATGAAAGGAAGCTCTTCCTTTATAAATAATTAGCCCTCAATGTTACGTGATTGTTTCTTTAATCAGTAGAATTTTTATTGAGGGTCTAAGTTGATGATAATATAATTGGTGTCATCTTAATTTTTAATTACCTTAGTAAGAAGAAAACTTACTAAGGACGTTATAATGTGCGACCATGACGATAGACATGTGTACTGTTCTCGAAGTAATTGATGTTTCGTGAATCACCACAACAACAATAATAATAATAATAATAAGAAAATAAGTACTGATAAGAGTAACAATGATAAGTATTTTGACAATATTTTTGTCGCTTTTTTTACTCACATATTGTGTTCTTGAAGGAAAAGAAGCTGGTTTTTCTCGACAGGCATATTTTATGTCTATATTTTTATATAAGACATAGTAGCTGCATAGTTTTCATAGTTCACAGTTTGACACAGCATGTGGAACGGGTTCCGCATAACTTTCACTAAAACCTGCTCGGTTTTGAGATTCGTAACTGCGTCTTATTGTCATGCATTAAGTCCTAGTAATTCCACCTCTTAAAGAAACTTCTTCCCTACGGCGTTTCCTTGCGAAGTTATTAATAGCTCTTCCTTTTGGTTTGCTATTGAGTGCACTTTCAGAAAACGTCGCTGAAGGAATAACATTAGAAGCAATAATAGTTTTCCAAATTGATTTTCCACGAGGCAATTTATCGAAGATAACTCTAAATAGGACCTAAGATGTGAACAACTCGAAACCCGTAGATCATTCGTCGACGAACGTATGAGTACTTATCATGCATGTTTCTACGAAACGAAGAGATTAAATCGATAAAAAATTCCCTACGAAGCGAAGAAAGCCACTAAGAATGTTTATTATCATCACACTATTGCGATCCAATAAGCTTAAACAGTGCTAATAAATATAGCATTTTCAGCAAGATGCAACGTCGCGAATAAAAAACCAGATGGGTGATGGTAATTAGGTTCAACCTTGCTCCTTGAGCTTTACCTATTTTCGGCCGGAGCTGGGCTAATATACGCATCTGGACCCATTTACACAATAAAAAATAATGGCTTTTGTACATACATATGCTACTTGCTGTTGCCTTTGCCTTACATGTTCGTTCTGCTTTTGAGTTGTCACATTATGTCGAGTCGGTCGTTTTTCACCCTAAAATAGAAATTTCAGGTATACGAACGCGTCGCGTATCGTGGGTTCTCGATCGGCACCACGTGTAGATTTGTGCCTGTCGACTAATAGACCTAGTATATAGAAAGGCAACATTTTATTTTAATTTCAGATTTTTACCAGAAGTTCCCTTATTTTATCTCGAACAATTTTCCCATAATTTGTGTTTCCTCTAAAGCAGAGGTTAGCACATAAGGTTAATGGATGTATAAAAATGGTACGGTGATAAAATGGATGAGGTGGCTTTAGCTCCTGTATATATATGAAGATGATATTCACCCATATATAAATATATATCTTATTTGAACAAGATAATGACGCTGGTAAAAGAAAAATCGAAATCGCGTACAAAGAATCTGTTGACAACAGGCTGAATCATTTGAAAAGTAGAACTGGTATATATATATACAAACAGAAGCCGTGACTGCGTATAGATCGAAAAGCAATACTGGTTGTCGTTCTCCGCAGGGGCCCTGAAAGCAATTTTTGGGCAGGCACGATTGAAGATATTTTCTTTTATTAGATTAACGGATGAATGACGTACCGGTTGATCGACAAGAGAAAACTGCCTCTATTCTATATATGAATGATATACCTAATGCAATGCTAAAGAAATACTTGTTATTTTGAACAGAAAGCATACACACATATATAATGCGCCTTTAGAAAAGATAATGCGAAAATGATGATAGTACTTCGAAGAAAGTACGGGGCAATCGAAGTAGAACGCAGTTTAATACAGTATCGCCGCTTGTTGAGGCCCTGCCACGGGAAGGAAAGATCTGTGCTGTTGACTTGGATTGTCGAGGATCTGTTATACTATCTGATCTGAATATGACGTTAATCGACAAAAAATTTTAGAAAAAATGAGCGTGATTGGAGCGAGTAGGCCATGCACGCCAGCTAAAAGAAAGACAACGAGGAATTCCATAATCCGCTTATTGTTGATAATAATAGGAACAATAGCAGTAAAAGTATATAGCACATATAATGCAATAATATAATGAGCACTGTAACGAGTGATAATAGAGTAAAATACGAAAACGAAATGAATGAAAAGAGAATCCGCTTTGTTGGGGAGCGGCTATCAAATCCAAGCAGTATCATAGCAAAAACAACGACGGTGATAATTATATAAAACAACGAAATCCCGTATATTAAAAAATATACTAAAACTGAGAATAAAAATTGAGTTACTTGGAGGAAAGTAGCTTGCAGATGTATTTTTTGAAGTGGGCGGAAAAATAGGGAAGGTTTTATTTGTTGACACTGTAATGTAAAAAAAAAATAGTTCATATGTAAACTTGTTAGTTTTCTAGGAAGAAACAACCGTAGTTTGCCAAAAATGTCGTTTAGCAGAAGCACGGTTTTTGTTAGTTTGGCAGCTTCTTTTTGTTACAAGCTGATACGGCGCTGACCAAAAAAAGATGTTTCAAATTGTTCACGCTTTAATTTAGAAATATATATGACCAAATTTGATGATATAAAATAGCATGTAATAAATATGCTCATATCTAACACACACTAAAAAACATTATATATAAATTGAATCTTATTTATACTCTTATCTTCTCAAGCACCGCTTGATCGACAACGTTCCTCGACCTAACTTCCCGGGAAGTACCATAGTTTCTGACTGTAATAATTATCAAGCGTAAATTTTCCTATTTTTTATAAATTCGTATGCTACCATTTAATAGATAATCAGCGTATATAAAAAGAAAAATAACGTTATTTTTCTGGTTTGGAATTTGAACAATTTGTAAGTTGAACCCGTAGAATTACCTATACAATGCGAATTTTTCGCCCGTTCAAAATGCGGCCACCGAAAATGTACATTTACTTTTTCATTTCAATCGCGTGTACAATGTCTGTTTACGGCCTAATGGGACATCATTTTGCCTGCGCAGAGATGCGTCAGTCCAATTTCTGCCTTCAACTCGCAACGTGTCCAGTAACTGTTGACTGATTCTTGGTATTACTGGCTGTAATAAAATACCCACGATGCGAAGCACCTCTAGCGCAGTGTGAAGAGTAATGTTTAATTGATGTCGCGCGGGCAGCGATTTTTTGCTAACTTTAGCTAGTTCCCACGGTTTGGCCTCTTGAACAAACGCATTCGTATCGCGAAGCACTTTTTGAATTAAGTCTATGCCCAAATAGAAGTTTCCTTCAGCAAATGATGACCCAACCTGTAAAAAATGGTAATAAAGGAGGACAAAACAGAGCTAAAAATGTCATGATTAGTTCTTTTTTTATCTCGTCGCCTTCGAATTCGGACTCAGAAAATAACATAGCAATTTCAAATTAAAAAGCGAACATTTTTGGCCGCCTTTAATAACGATAAAGTATTGTCTTGTTCTACAACTACTCAGATAAAAATTGCAAGACAGGACTAAGAAAAATATACTGAAATGTGATGCAAAACTTATGATGGTATAAAATCCGGCTTATGATTTTTCCACATAGTAAAACACCATGATTAACTATTACACTAATTATTATTAACCATAATAGAATTTGATGAATCGCTCACCTGGTCCGACAAGGTCAGTGCGTTCTCAATGATTTGTAGAGGTGTCTTCGCGAGTGGCAGGTCAGTTTCAGGAAATCGTGGTATCATTTGATTCTGGTTTACTGTGCTTGACGTACATCGATTCAAAAGATTCCCCAACGAATTTGCCAACTCAGCGTTCAAGATTCGCTTTATCTTTACCTCACTGAAATCTGTACTCGATCAAGATACACAGAAGAGTAGTAATAGTAATAATAAAGAAGAAATGGTATAAGCTTTCAATTAATAATACAAGACTCACTGGCATCACTGTGTGGTACAGCCTCTCGTAAGAGGAAATATCTTAGGCCGTCTGGTTGTACAACGGGAACGAGATCGAGTGGACAAATGACGTTTCCACGAGATTTCGACATCTTTTTGTCTTCAACAGTCCAATGCGAATGGCAAAGAATTCTAAAATAAACAGAAATGCAAATACTAAACGTGTGGTCCATGCATCTAATAATCTAGCTTTCTTTTTATTACTTTATGTTATAGATTGGGATACGAAAAAAATAGTTAAATACTAGAACCTAACTTTTGGGGAAGTTGCAAGCCAGCCGCCATAAGAAAAGCCGGCCAATAAACTCCATGAAACTTCAAGATGTCCTTGCCAATTACATGCAGTGATGGAGGCCAAACTTGAGAGGACGCCGGGTCATATGCACGACCCAGAGGTTCACCAGCAACAGTCAAGTAGTTGGTCAGAGCATCCAGCCAAACGTAAATCTGCAAAGAACGTTTAATTCGTTGATACGTCGACCATGCAAAATTAAATAGCATTCGAAATCGTTTTTGCAAATGATATATTTTTTTGCAGACTAATACTATGGAATTGATATGAATCGAACACATGCTAAAGCCCGCTGTCTAAAACAATCCTTAACGAGAGAACAAGAATTGAAAATTTAAAACATTTATTACACTAATATACAAGAGTGATAATTTACTTGTCTCTATTCGTTTAATCGCAGCTTTGTACAGTATGACTAAAGTTGATGGCCGTTGTGTGCATATGTAAGCGGCTGCAGCTAAAAAGGTCATAGGTCTATTTTTAATATATCAGTTGAATTAAATTATACACAAAGTATCAAATGTAATTATATTGTCTTGAAAACTTTCTATTACAGTAAGCAAGGAGTATAGTACTATTTCTCAGGTCAAATCATTTCATAATAATTCATTAAGCACTAACCGTCTGAGAAGAATCCCCAGGAACAGGGATACCCCAATGCGCGCGGCTACGACATCTCGAGACAGATAAATCCTGGAGGCCTGGTTCTATGTAGGAGCGAAGAATTCTCTGAAATTTTGAAGGCTGAACTAAAGACGGTTCTGTGTCTAGCCAATGCAGGAGGTCATCTGGAAAAAGAAAAATGCCATAATCGAGCTATAAAAATGTTAGCTATTTAAGTTAGTGCACTTTTAGTTGTTTTAACTATTGAGTCGGATTTTGCGTTTAATGTTTTAGATTATTATTCCTGTCGAAAAAAGCAAAGTAAAGCAATTCAGCCTACAAGACCTACTTAGATATAGCTTATTCACTGTAATAATTGTAACTTCGAAACTTACCCTTAAAGGATCCTAATCGAAAAATGTAATTCTCCTCTTTGACCCACTCAACTGGATTTCCCGATTCTACGCTGACAGTTACCTTCATTCCTTTTTGTTCAATTTCTTTAACGTCTGTTACAAAGTTCTCATCAGAAGTTGAATACCAGCCCTCATATTGTCCTTTGTAGATATGTCCACGCTGAACCAAGGTTTCCTAATTAAAAAATACCAAATAATCTAATAATAATTGAATACGCACGTTTCCTTTTCTAACAGGAGAACTTTGTTAGTGATGAAGATTTGATGGAGCAATCGGAACTTAGAAAATCTTACGACAATAGGTTGTATTAAGCACTGCAATATTGGTAAAGCTTGCTATCTAACTACTATATTCTTATACGAAGACAGATACCTAAAATCGGCTCTTTTTTTTTTTTTGATGAAATAAATTGCGGTTATACTCAACTCACCCATACGCTTGCAACACATGCTTTATGATTTTCATCCGTCGTGCGAATAAAGTGGTCGTGCGAAGTACCGATCTCATCACAAAGTGTACGAAATTTGGCTGATATTTTGTTGCAAAAAATTATTTCAGGCATGCCGGAAGTACGAGCTGCCCGCTGGATCTACAGAAAAATTAAGATAAAATAAAGCAACAAAATAAAGCTGAATAATAATATTTATGAAGTAACATAGTAATAATAAAGTCACAACTTGTAATGTTAGTTTTTTATGTCTTTTTTCCGAAAAATGACATTTTGATCTCTCATAAAATTCCTAAAAAAATGCTGCCTTTTTTTTTAATTATCAATGGCACTAAAAATCCTTGACATATAAAACAACATCGTTTTCCACGGTTTTCTTAATATCGTGCTGGGTAGGGTACACTCTTAAGTTCCTGGCTAAGCATGAACAATTTAAAGGTAAAAATGATACCCTCTGAAAATTTAATATGCAGCGCATTTTGTATACCTTTATGCCATGCTCGTCTGTTCCAGTGCTGAACAGTGTTTTCTTGTTAGGATACCGCAACTTCTGCAGTCTATTGATGGCATCAGCTAATACCAATGTATGGCAGTGTCCAAGATGCGGCGCTGCGAGCAGATAAAGACATCAAGCTTATTTCACATGTTATAAGATTTCGATAACTCCTAACAGTGGCTATTACATGTAGTTAGCTTCAACGTGACAAATCAAAACAAGATACTAAGAGCTAAACATGTATTTTTGCATCTTAAAGATGTGTTACAATGGAATCAATAATATTTAAAACACGTATACATATATATATATATATATATATATATACGCGGAAATTAAATGTTTCGGGTATTATGTGTACACTAAAGCTGGTTGCACTCCTCAGTGTATGGCACGTCCTAGTTTTTGACTATTTAATACTTGACTATAACTGTGTAAGGTCTTGTTTGTTTCAAAAATTTTGTATTCATGTATACTTGTTACACACTTGTTATATTTTCCTGTTCGTCGATTGAAAAACTCAAATGATTCTTTGCTGCTTATAGAGATGAACCGAGTAAGTATTTCGTGCGTATTTAAGATAGTAATATACACAGAGGAGCTTGCGTTAGTCGAGTAAAACTGCAGAAAACCAATAAAATGGATAAATTTTGTTTTAATTTTCGCTGGTTTTATCTGATAAAAATTCAACGTGCACGCCGCTTCTTCCTTTTCAAGCTTTTCAAGTCCATGGCATGTACTATGTAACGACCTACCCGCATTGACGTAAAAAATCGGCGTCGTCACAAAAAACCTCGACATTGCATCTCTCTGTCGCTTCTCATGCCACAAAAAGATGTTTCGGAAGATCGAACAACAAACTCAATTCATTTAATTTATTTGTAGTCGATGTCCGACTCGTTCGATTAACTCAAGTCAGCTGACTTTTTCGCGCACACACGGGCAGTATGACATGTTTACTGATCTCCCTTTCTCTTTGGAATCTATATGAGAGGATTGTCGTCTGCTACAAACGAAAATCCGCCCTTTTATAAACGTCTTTGCTCGAAAAATACGAACCTGCTTTGCCGTGAAAGGTTACATTCGGGTGCGTTGTATCTCAAAGTACCGGGTTGACGCAGACCCGGTCATTTTTGCGTGTTTTCATAGCTTATTTAATTATATTTGTTAATATCAGTGGAAAACCATTAAAAATATAACGATTATTTTACTTTTGAGAGAATCAGAATATTACGTTTACCTGCATGGTATTTAAAAATCACAAATGCCCCGTCTACATAGACGTTTTAGGGAATATATATTTTGCTTTCGTGATTTTTATAACTCTACTTGCATAACTACACCACAAATTTAATCCTCCAATTATTCACAGTAGAGGTAAAAAAAGTTAAGCGCTGTCTAACTTTCAGTAATAGGCGAATTCTGTCACGTCGGTTACAAAGGCGACCGCTTTATATGTGTAGAATAAAAAATCCTCGTTTAAATAGTGGACTTCGTTCATACACAACATAGCTCTTATTAAATACTAGTCTCATGAGAGAGCAATCAGAAGTCGATAAAAAGTTAACAAATATGTAAGCGAACCACTAAATAAATTGTGATTTTGTAGAGACCGGAGTCATTTGGTTGGTATTATCGTTTGAGAACGTTTGCGGGTAAAAAGCGTTTCTAGCAATCACCGTTATCAGGTCATGTTTACTTGTCTTCTGATATGCAATACGCTTTATTTATGTCATGTATATATTTTAGTATTTTCAATAAGCGTGACGTACAGATGCCCCAACGATCTTTTGAACTGCGCAACTGTTTACACTACAATAAACTGTTTGTGTGTCCCAAAGGAAAATGTACTTTCAATTTTTAAATAATTTTTTATTAATACCTTCGCCAGATTTTAATAAAGTGATAATAACAAAGCCATATAATTATTACTAAAATCAATTTTTTCGATCAATTGTTACCCATCTTCCATTGCTGTTGTCGACAAATTTTTAGGCACATCAAGCAGCAAGTTTTTAAGGACATTAAAAGATGCTACATATGCCCCAGACGTAGCTAAATCTGTTAAAACACTTCCTGTCAAAAATGGACATCGATTTCCAACAGTTTGCCCATCTCGCTCATAATAAATGTACTTGTTATCGTTCCTTATTTTCGTTTAAGGCTGCTGTGACATTTGGCCTGTACTATAGTCTCAGCTCTTCTTTTAAAGTTGTTGAGTTTAAAGTAAAGGTGTGTTATAGACCCAAATGCCTCTGACAGTTCGGGCTGTCGTACACAAGTCTGTTATATCGTTGTGTAAGTAATAAGAAAAAAAGCCTTGCCAGTTGTTTCTGAAACCATTATATAGACGATAGTCAACCAACTCATAAACTGATATAACTGTGATCAGCCCGCTGTCTATCAAATGGTCATCATTTTAGAACTATCATTAGTTTCTTGTACAAACTAAATAATAAGTGTTTTCTATTAGCAGCACAACGGTAATATGACCTACTTCCTTACCAATGACAATTACCCGATCTTGTATAATAAGAGTTGTATAATAAGCTACAAGTCTATTAACGCAAAATTGGAAAATACAGAGCATTCGGCGTTTTTCCGCCACATGTAAACCAAGTACTCTTAATTTTCTGCTGTTGGCTCAGCTACCCAACGAAAGCATAATTTTTTTCTACAAATGTTTCGGAAACATTATATGTACTTAATTGTTTTGTTGTAGATTATTCAGGGACAACAACAGCATATTGCTTGATGTAATTTCATGGCGTTCCGTGTAGCCGTTAGCTTTCAGATCCTTTTGTGTCGTTCACTGGCTAAATGCCATGAGCATTTGCCTTTCACTAATGGCAAGTTACTCAAGAGCGTCAGCAGTTCCTATAGATATCGTCATGCATCTTCACATGGAAGTGTCAAACGGCTTCTGCAATAAGGTGGGCGCCTTTGGTATACAATTCTGTATAAGGATCCCCTTTTTCCTGACTTCTCTTAGACAAATGCACAGTGCATATTGTGTGTCCACCACTAAAGACATTCAAATAGCTCAGCGTTATATGTATACTATTTTTCTTGGATCTTTGTAGAACCGATAGAATAATCTATCAATATTCTTGCACTGTTCTTTTAGAAAGTGACATCGACGAAGTACCCGGTGGTCTTTTCGCAAGAACTGAATGCATGTAACATTTAGAGATATTCATAATTTCGCATAGACTAGATGCCATATAGGGCACTCTCAATGCGTTTGCTTGCCAAACTCAAGACTAAACCATTCAAGCCCCTGTAGCGTTGAATGCAATTGCCACTCATCTGTCATTTTCCGCGATGGAAGCTTTTGACAATACAAGTGAAGCCAACTTCGAAAGGCAATTTATATGTCTACTTAACTGTTTCCATCTACGTCAAACTTACGTGTTTTGCTTTAAAAGACTACATAGAAAAAAAAGTGTCTTCCGAGCAGCTTCACAAAGAAGATGCGCTTTTAGAAACCGTTCAGTCATTTTTTCAATCTATTGACGCATGATTTATTTCTCTAAGATTTCACTTACTTGGTATGCCATACCGCTAGCATATAGTTGGTAACGTTACAAAGTTATGAGCTGCTGATTTGGCCGCCTTGCTTAGTCACCGAGCTCTCGGCAAGGTACGTACCTGTATGGATGTCGTGTTAGTCCAACAGACACGAAACTGCTGACTCTCGAAGAACAAATCAGGAGACGATATTAATACTTAGCCCTAAAGGAATTATCATCCAGAATTTATATTGCATACATAAAAAGGTCAAGGTCAATAAATGGTTGGAATACGGCCAAAAGCAACCTTTCTTATCCGCATCCGCACGAGTCAGTTTATGGGCGTTTTAGGGAAGGTAATTTGCGATATTTAGTAACTTTTTCATTAACTTTTAGCAAAGCTATACATCAAAATAGGGTTTGAGTTTCAATTCTGTTCTCCAGCAACAAAATACGATAAACTAACATCTTATGTACGCACGTTGCTCTACATAGACAGAAAATAAATAATGATGCCTTTGAGTTATTCAGGTCTTTGCTTCAAGTAACGAATGAGCATGGTTTCGATCTGTTTATGCCTTGCTGATGCACTGGTTTTGTGCCCTTGAAGGCACCCCAAACGGCTGTCATGATACAAATGGCTATCATAGAGGCGACCTCGATATATATTTTCGAACGTATTGTATTCTCTATTACAGCATATGCGTCTCCTCATAGTTTAACGCAAGCAATTAACTAGTTAGTAGAGTACGCGCTTGCAATAAGATCCTCATTGATCTAAAAATGGCGCGGGTTACCCATGAAGCGCTAAGGGGCTAATTATTGGTTGTCTATACTACTGTATTTTAATAACGGTTTCTCTAAAAAGTAAACTGTTAAACTTAGCGTCTGTCATTTTTCGGCTAGCTAATGCGTTGGTTCACACGGTTCTATGAGCTGCTTACTAGCGGTCTCTCAAAATTTCTACTGTTGCATGTATACGGCAACTCGACGTAAACACCCGATACACACGCGCAAACACACAGTGAGACTTTCATGACTTACAGCTACGAGCATTGGCAGATACATTTAAGATTAATTTTGGCTTTTTGTCAAGGAAATTACCTTTATGCTCTTTTAGAGTGATTGTATTGCCCCATATCTGGGGCTTCTATGGCTTTTATACCTAGGTCTTTCCCAGCGAGTAAGAAAATAAAACTACTTATGTTATGTACCTTACGCAATAAGCAAAGCACTGCGTTTGATTCGAGCGCTATTACGTAACAGTGATTACTGATCTATCTCATAATTCGATCTGCACGATTTATTCATAACCTGCACTCGGTGTTCTCCTATGTTCATGTAATACCTGTCGGTGAGCTCGTGGAGAATAGCAAGTAAGTCATGTTCTACCCGTACAATAGTAATAGTATATATGTTCGATAGGAACCTGAGTCAGGCAAATTGCAGTGCGGCAGCGGCGGCTTCATTTCTATTGCGCTTTTTTCTGTTAGGTTCCAACTCTGGGGGTATCAGCAACAAAAACGTCGAATCGTTGTTGCTAGCAAGTTTCCCCGCTACTTCATGGAAAACGAGACTCTTCTTTCATCCAAGGCAAACAATTCATTTAGCAACAGTGGTAGGCGACGCTGTCTGTTTTTGGTTCGACCAAACTAGCCCAGTCCTTGCCAGCTCACATTATCTGCCCACGGTACACGAGCCAAGCGCGCTAGGCATGATCACTCACAAGAACGGAAACGGGCTTTTCTCGCGGAAGCTATTGGGTGGGCTAAGCACCTTAACAATATCTGTTCGACGTCAGCGTTTTGCTTATTACAAGCTTGTCTGCACAGACCACTACTAGTGTTTCTACCTCTAAACCTACTATGATCTCTACTATTTGTGCTACTGCTACAGGAGAGAATGCATGCGATCGTATCGCACGAGCTGAGACACCACATTTCCGTCAGACTAACTACCGGGACACAACAATAACAGCAAGCGACTAACGACACGCCAGCTCTGCCGGCAGCTACCTTACGCTGGGTCGCCTTGCATTTCACCTTCCTTAGCACCTAGTCGCTTCCTTTCTCAACCATTTCTTTTGCCGTGACCATATTCCTTGACCGACATTACCTTTTGGTCTTTTGCCTATGTTACCTTTCTGTCTTGTTCCCACCTCTGTCCCGCGTTCCCCACTTCTCGCTTGATTTTCACCCCTCTCCCCCTGCCCCCTCGTTCCCCTGTTGCATTTTCTGGATAGCGACGACAACGATAATTCTTCTTCTATTCGGTTATCTCTTGCGAGCCTGTTTGTTTGCCTTTTGCATAGGACGCAAGTTCTCTGAACCTGAATACGCATATTTTGGTTTCCCCACTGCTGCTGCTCTAGCAACGTGAAATGCGATCGTTGTGCCAATAGG